GATGATATTATGTTATGTCATATTATATTCGATGTACTTACATATGAAACTTCAGTCTAACTTTGGATGTGAACGACTCGTTACAGTTGTGACAGGTCACGACTTGAGGATTGGAAGTCAGTTCCCGACTGCGGCGTTTTCTTGGACGCTGGAAATTACCTTTATTAACTTATGAGCTTTGAGTAACTTTTGGGCGCTATCATTAACTTATATTTATTATTTTATTTATTTAATTCTTCTGCACATACAGTACAAGCCGAACTTAATGCCTAGGGCATTCTTTGCCAGTCTACCTTCGGTTGGTACAGAGACATTTAACCTATGGAGTTTCTTGCTCGACTTTATCCATAGGAATCTACACCTTGGAATGAGCAAATAGCTTCACTTTTAATTTTTTTTCTGAATTCCTGGACTAATTAAAATAAATGATTTTGACTTTTTTTTTTTCTAGTAACTTTCGTGCGCTTTCACGGAATTCTTATTGTATTTTTTTTTATTTTAGCACTTAAGTTTCTGGGCACTTTTAGTGACTTTTTTTTTTTTTTAGTGACTTTTGGCACTTTTAGTGAAATTTGGGCACTTTTAGTGAAATTTGGGCAATTTTAGTGAAATTTGGGCACTTTTAGTGAAATTTGGGCACTTTTAGTGACTTCTGGGCGCCTTCAGTGACTTTTAACGACACATGAAGCGTTTTTACTTGTAAAACAAATGCAACATTTATGTATGTTTTAAGATAAAGCTACTTTTATGTAGTCTGTAAAATTACCATAACAATAAGATCGTTGTCAATTCCAGAATCATTTTGTCTGGGACGTCCTTGCGCTCTCTGTGAACGAAGACATACAAATTGAACTTTATTGCAACAACGATAAAGTTCAGAATCACATTGGCTAGCACACAGCTGCTGCGGTACGTGTTGTGGGTTCGATTCCTGGTTGATTTATACACCATCGTTTAATGTTACAAACGCACCTACGACACAGGAGAAATTCTTAGCTTTTTTTGGAAAAGGATACTTCTTTGCTCACTGGTCAATTTAAAATACAGAATTTCATACATTTCATGTTGTCTCCTAATAATCTTCTCGTGATCAAAAACCTAAGATATTAAGTACTAAAACGTGAAAATACTTCTGCAAATAAAAGGCAAGACTAACCTTCAAGAAGTCTTCTTCAGTGGGTATACAGATTAGATTGACGAGATCCTTGGACTTTCTCTTCCGGCCTCGTCTCCTGCATCGATGGTTCGATAAACCATCCGCGCTTGCAAATACTTGACTGTGCAAACAATAAAGAAATGTAATGTAACTAGCTATATTTTTAATAATTCGATGGCCCGACGTTTGCCCACTATCTCGCCTTGTGGTGCACGATGATGCGGCCTACGATGGAGCACGTCGTCCCATATGCAACCTATTCACTCAGGCCTTGAAAACACCCAGGTTATACCCGAGCGCCATCACCCTCTCTACTCGGCGCTTATAGACCGTAGCGTGATGGTTTATAGTCTATAACTTTCCTTGGTACCTAAATGGTCTATCCAACACTAAAATATTTTTTCAAATCGGACGAGTGGTTCCTGAGGTTAGCGCGTTCAAAATAGTAAACAAACAAACAAATAAAATCTTCAGCTTTATATAATACTAGCTTTTACCCGCGGCTTCGCTCGCGTCACAAAAGGATGAAAAGTAGCCTGTGTGACTACTTTTCATCCTTTTGTGACGCGTGCCAATACACACAGTGCCATCTATACTAATACTTTTGTTTTCCCTCGGGAATAACAATTTTATCCGGGTTTCAAAGTACCCTATTTAATCCGGACTTCTAACTTTACTTCTGCAAAAAATCAAAACAATCGTTTAAGTAGTTATGGCGTGAAAGCGGAACAAACAAACAAACAAACTCACTTTCCGATTTATAATATTATTATAGTAAGGATTATAAGATATTCATATTTTTTATGCCACGAAGGGATCGGCAGAAGCTACATAACAGACTCAATCTCTCCGTCTTCTAAAAGTCTCTATATTTGTAATCCCCAATTCTAATTCTAATCTATCTTAACCTAATCCCCAGTCGCGGAGAACCTAACGGGTAACCGGGGCTCCGGCTCGACGTGCAGGAGAAGGAACGGGGTGGTTTTTAGTCAGTAAGAGTCTGACACTCCCTCCCGCCTCACCCAGGCGGGAGCAGTCATTCGATGAATTTCCCCCCTTAAAAAAAAAACCTAATCCCCAACCGCCAACGCCCAAGCCTAATGCCACCAGGTACCAATCCTCAATGCTCAGAAGGCCGGCAACGCATTTGTAACTCCTCTGGTGTTCCAGGTGTCCATGGGCGACATGATTGCTGATTGCTTACCGTCAGGTAATCCGGACCCGTATGTCCCTGTCTTTATCATAAAAAAAATAAAAATATTATCTATACAGTATATTATACATACCTGCAATTATAGCATTTATGCGTTTTCTCTGAATTGCCTTCTTGTCCATCTTCTTTCACCTATAAGTATGATAAAATTATTTCATAAACACATTACATACAACCTTCACCCCCTATTACATGGGACTCTGCGGTAATGTTCACCACTGCCTACCCATTCGGGGATAAAAGGCGTGATGTTATGTTATGTTAAAAAAAAACAGGTTTTCTACAGAAAACTCGTGACGTTTGTCGATGTCAAAAAAAAAGCGTAAGCGCACAATAAAGAATTCTATGCAACAACTGAGAAAAAAAAAACCCAACTCGAGAATCAAACCTGATACTGTTTTAAACCACAAAACTTTCAAGCTAATCTACATTTTACTCACCTTAGCAGCACATAAGAGTTTCTGCAACTCCTGCGCATCAGCGTCAGCTGTCTGAACTATCCAGATCTCATCCTCGCTGCTGTCCAGACATTCTTGCTTAACCTCCGTTTTTATGATGGGTGGCTCTGCGTTTGTGGTGGGTTCCGTCTGTGTAATATAAATATTGTTTCAATTGGTTTCAATTGGACAAGATGTACGATTCTAAATTTTATCTTCTTACGGGATTTTTTTGTGTACCAGGGGGCTTACTCTTGAATCCAATTTCGATCGTTCGACATTGGTATTGTGAAATTTCGTACTCTTGAGTTGCAACACTAGCGCCCATTGCATCCGTATTGCGTGGATATTAAATGAACTAAATGGTAATGAGTTTGGCTTTCTATTCCGTACTCTGAATGCTATTTTAACAGCTACGATAGGAGTTGTATAGTTTTGACATTGAATAATTATTGAGATTGAAATTGCATTGACATTGAGATTGGTTTCAAGAGTAAGCATCCAGGGCCGTCTTACTACTCTTGGGCACACAAAAATCACACTAGGATTTTGTCCTGTGTCGTGGGTGCGTTTACAAACATACAAGTTCACATACACATGACACCCAGACCCGGAACAACAATCTGTGGATCACACAAAGATTTGCTCCGTGCGAGTATCCGGCGTAGACATTGTCGGTTCTTCGGGGCTTCCTGAGGATGGGGGCTCTGGGCACGGGCCCCGAGGGCCCTTAAGGTGTATCCAAACTCGGCGTGCAAGCTGCGCGGCAATTTGTGGCACACAAAATTTCCGCGCGTCTACTTTAGTAGACCTTCTGCTCGGCAATGCTGCGCGGCATGGCCGAGACATGTCGCATTGTTTATTGACCAATGAAAGTAACTAACTGTTACTCTTTAAAAGATCCATACTTTTTAATAAAACGAATCGATATTTCACTGTCCATGTTTCCGCATAAAAATGCGCCTAAACATAATTACCGCCGAATGTTTACTAAGAATATTCGTGGGTGGCAGGTAGTTAGGCACAAGTATTAGCGCGCGGCAGTCGTCCAATGACAGCGCGGCAGCCGCGCTCGATTGCCGCTCGATGTTTGGACACACCTTTATAGTAAAGACGGTACTGACTATGACCGGGAATTTCGGAAAAATCTGATATAGATTTTTGAAATATTGGAAAATTAACTAAACTACAAATTACTGTTAAACTACATACTATAACTAGTTAATCTTAATTTCTAACTAAATAATACTAACTTTAATAAGTTTAATAAATAACTAAATACTATTTAAAGTCATAAGACTAACCGTATCAGCATTAGAATCTGTCTTGTCTTCAGAATTTTCATTATCTAGAAATCAGTGGACAAATTTTTCATTTAGTTTTATTGTCGTAGCTCTGTCGGGTTATTTCAAATTAAAACAGAAGACTGCACAATTAATAGGTTTAATTTCTACATATCAGAATCAAGACCGGCACGCACCGATACAAAGAAATGCCCGAATGCTATGGCTGGCGTGTGTCGATGAAGAAGAAGCGCGGCGCTGGCGCGGCCGTGGGTTTTTATACCCCCGTCCCGCCGCGTCGCCGCCTCTATGGTCGATGGCCATACTAATGCGCCGACATTATATTGATGAACTAGTTTTAGCCTGCGGATTCGCCCCCTTCGGTTCGAGAACTGTTTCCACAGTTTCCGCAGAAATACTAATCCAGAAGCATAGTAATCTTGTTATAGGCGAATAGAATAGCAAGATAGATGGACCGTTGAATAGCAGGGTTGGATTGATAGAATAATAACATAACATAACATCACGTCTTTTATTCCCTAAGCGATTGGCAGAGGTGCACATTACGGCACTTAATGCCACTGTACAATGTAACATCCACTTTTCACTATTTATATTATAAGTCCCATGTAACAGGGACAGATATTCCGTGCTACTACTGATAATTCTTAAAAACCCAATCCAACCAAAAAAAAACCGTCTCGGGAGTCGTACAACTTGGCCAACTTGGCCAACAAGGTAGGCAGGCAGTTGAATAGCAAGACAGTCAATAGCAGAATGGTAGGATAGTATTATAGTAAGATAGCATGTTAATAAGACAGTAGAATAAATAATAAGTAGCAGATAAGGCCGTTAAAGAAAGGCTGACGTAATGTCACTTAGAAATGATTCCAGGGAAAGCCATGCTTCGGCACGAATGGGCCGGCTCGACCGGAGTGATACCACGGCCGAGCAGAAAACCGACGTGAAGCAACGCTTGCGTTGTGTTTCGTCGTGTGAGTGAGGTTACCGGACGCCCAATTTAATTTAAATTAATCCCCAAAAGGCCGGTAACACACTTGTAACGCCTCTGCGGTATTCCAGGTGTCTATGGCGACGCCGATTGCTTACCATCAGGTGCTCCGTCTGCTCGTTTACCGGCTATGCCATAAAAAAAAATATTGAAGCACCAAAACGTCAGTGGTGTATTCACGTGTCCGTGTATTTGCAACACCGTAAAGGCGCGGGCCCACCGCGGTGAATGCTGTGCACGGGCATGCGGCGCATTTTACCTGCGTGTAACAATTTGTTTAACAACGTGGGTCTACGTTTCCACTGGAATACACGAATATGTACCACGACTACGTACAGCGTGACACGGTGCACCTGGGCCTGCTTAGCCGTGGTATCACTCCGGTCGAGCCGAGAAGCATGGCTCTCCTACACCTATACTAACTGAAAACTGCGCTGCGATAAGTGAGCTGTACATAGTCGAGGGTCATATTCGTGTACTCCCGTGGAAATGTAGACCCACGTCGACAGCGTTGAGCTATGGAACCGCCTATTCGAGCAAGCCACGCATGTATCAATTCATACGTAAATGTACTTAACTTCACATGCCCTAAGCAGGCTAAATAGACTATAAGAACAAAGGATGTAACATAAAAACCATCAAATGTATTAACTCTATTTAAATGTGAATAAATGAATTTTGAATTTTACGTAGCCTCTCCGTGGGTTGCAGTGGACAAAACCACTTACATTTTCTTCCAAAGCGAAGCTTAATATACGTGCGTAGGCTCTCCGTGCACCGCGGTGGGCCCGCGCCTTAATGTATGAAGTGTAATGACGAGCCATGTCACGCGACAGATGTACTTCATGTCAATGTGTGTGTGCTGCGTGTAACTCTATAGTAGCCAGGTACCACAGTCGTTGTTTCAAGAGACTGTGTCCATCTTTTTTTTAATGCCTTTGGTAGCAGATTTGAATAGTAATTAACCTAGGAAGATGTATACCTTTTTTATCTCCATCCTTTTTGTTTGAGCTGCGCGTGCGCGTCGCTACGGGCGATGATGGAGTTCCCGTCTCTGGCTCGGTAACTATTAGGTCTAAATTCAAATAACATATATTTTACAAATAATAAAATGATATGTTTTTTATAATAACTATCGTGAGACATACTAAATTATTAAAAATCGCGAGTTACTCACGTGAATATATTAAAAAAAGCTCTATTAGTTTCGAACCACACAGGGGTTCTTCCTCATGAGCAGCGTGCGCGGTCGCGGCGATGTCGCGCAGCCTCCTACGGCTGCGGGTTTGAAGCTAGTAGACATTTTCTCAGTATATTCACGTGATGAGTAACCCGCGATTTTTAGTTAAAATAATACGTCTATATAAGGTGTAACAAAAATAGTGCACAATATTTTAGTAGGTCAATTAGTATGTGATAAACATCATTTTTTTATGAAAATATTTTATAAAAACTTATCAATTATTTTTAATAATTCATTTATTATTTTCATTGCTTTTTATGCCATCCTGCAATATGTACCTATTACTATGTACCTATTCAAAAAGCTCGGTCGTTGACCCGTAAGATAAACGTCCGCGCGCATCCATACGGCTGGCGTTCTGCGTAAAAACACAACAACAATTTTGCAAATGTGATGCTAAATTTAATTAAACATGTTGTTGTTTACATTTTTTTAAGGTAAACATAATCCTTATCATGTACTATATCACCTGTTAAAATATTGTGCACTATTTTTGTTAGACCTTATATAGAGTATTAAAAAAAATTCGTAACATATGCAAATCACCGAATGAAGCGGAAGAGATATGTAAAATCATAGTAGTTGGCGTTTCACAGTCGCTGCGTACCCTCATGGGAGACAGGCGTGAGGTTATGTATGTATGGTTTATGACGTATGGTTTATGTATGTAGGGGCGGTGCAAGCGGCCTTTAGTCCCCGAAGTGGGCTAGGTAGAGTACTTATTATTAACTAGCAGTAAGAAGTGTGGGAGAGTCATGCTTCGGCACGAATGGGCCGGCTCGACCGGAGCGATACCACGGCCGAGCAGAAAACCGACGTGAAACAACGCTTGCGTTGTGTTTCGTTGTTTGAGTGAGGATCCCAAAGGCCCAATTACAACCCCCCCCCTTCCCCAATCTCTGCATCCCCAAAAGGCTGATAACGCACTTGTAACGCCTCTGGTGTTCCAGATGTCTATGGGCGACGCCAGATTGCTTACCATCAGCTCGTTTCCCGGATTATCCCATAAAAAACACCTAATAGGCCGCCCAAATTTTTTTTGGCGCCGCCATCACTCAATGAGTAGTTGGATACCTATAATGCGTCTCACGGCGACCTCTGTAACCTGGCGCCCTTAGTCGGGTATACGACACCCGAAAAATACGTGTGGGGACAAAACTACTCCGTCGTGAACACACTGAAATAGACTTACCTTTGTCAACATCGTCTGCATTGGTTTCAGTTTCATCTTTTGAAGGTTTCTTAGTTTCAGATTTCTCGTGAGCCGCTATTAAATGAGCTTTCAGCCATTTCAGATTCGCATAGCCTGAAAAAGGAAATTGGTATTTTCAAAAATTTATGGAAAATTAGCTAAGATGAAAGTTGACGCATCAGATGTTTTTTTTTTATGGGACAAGCCCGCCACGACCTCCCAAAACCGCTGCAACTCCTGTAAGCCAGGATCTACAGTAAATACAACCATGAAAACACCGGAACATTGAAGTTCGGCGCGTCCCAGGGACATGAGTAACTGTCTTGGTTCCCGCAACGAAGTGAATCAGAAGATATTATAAGAGGAGAAGAAGAATCAGATGGTGTTTATGAAATCTACGCATCAGGTAGGCAACCTGTACTGTACATGGTCTCCTTGTTATGAGGTGGGAATATCATCGAATCTTCTCCCGCTCGGGTGAGGCGAGAGGGAGTGTCAGACTCTTACTGACTAAAAACCACCCTGTTCCTACTCCTGTATTTTGAGCCGGAGACCGTACAGGTCCCTGGACATTCGCAACACCAGCTGAATTACAAGTGCGTTGCCGGCATTTTAGTGTTTAGAAGATTTAATGATGGGGAGCAGGAGATAGATATTTGGGTATTAGGGGAAATGGGAATTGGGGATGGGGCATTATGATTGACTTATGCTGCTCATAGCTGTGGGCCCCTAGCGTGGCTTGAAACTAATCCAGTTACATCGTCAAATAGTTACGTGAGTAAGCCCTAAAAATAACAAATACACAGGTTTTTTTATCCTGAGAATATAATTAACTAGCGACCCGCCCCGGCTTCGCACGGGTGCAATATACATGTATTATACATACAAACCTTCCTTAAGAATCACTCTATCTATTAAAAAAAACCGCATCAAAATCCGTTGCGTAGTTTTAAAGATCTAAGCATACATACGGACATACAGCGAAAGCGACTTTGTTTTATATTTTGTATTATTACGAGACTGCCTCGTTGTCCGAGTGGTCGTAAGTGCGACAGCCGGGCCGGTCTCGGGTTCGATTCCCGGGTCGGGCAAAGTATTACTGTTTTTTTTTACGAAAAACTCAAAAGTAGAATGGAATCTGGAAATGTGTCCGATATACGGCAATAGGCTCACCCCGTATTACATGGGACTCATAATAAAAATAGTGAAAACTGGGCGTTACATTGTACAGTGGCATTTAGTACGGTAATGGTATGTTATGTGGACTTACCATAATTACATAGGGGACATGGGAACACCTCCCCATCTTCCAGATCATGTTTATGTGTCTCGCAGTGCTCCGTCACGCCTGAAAGTTCAGGGAATATTTGCTCGCAAAACCTGAAAAAAGTTTGAATATATGTCTAGTATAAACCTGTTAGATTAGAATATTTTTAATTGATTCTGATGATGAGGAAAGAGAAGTTAAATTATTCAGGGTGTAAATGGAACAATACCGAAAAGCTTACAAAAAAATGGTTTATACAATAGGATAGTTTCCTAATTTTTATTTTAATGTCCGTCTGGTAGATTAATTTAAAACTTTAGACACTTATTTTTTCTTTTCTCACAAATTTAAATGCTTTCGACGATATATTGATTTGAAATGACGTGTGACGTCACAGCGTGCAAAAAAAATGTAGCACGTTATGACGTAACGACCTCCCACTCTTAAACTTAACTTCATTTTATCTAAGTATATAATATAATATATAATATAATATAATATATAATATAATATAATATATAATATTTTTTCATTATCTAACTAACGGACTAATTAGATTTTTAATTTTGATACCCTGGAAACTACCCAATCGTATATAAAACATTACAAAAACGATTACAATTTTATTATTTTTTGTTTTCGTGTTATTCATGTACCATCAGCGTTGAGCAGTTGATTACAACTGTTATTACATAAAAGAAATATTTAGTTCCATAGTTTTATGAAAATAGCCTAATGACGGCAAGTACCAATGTGACTTTTCCCAGTTATACACGCGCGATATTAACTGGAAGGATTCGGTGCGGGGGCAGTCGCGACCCAACCACTGTATTGGGCAGACATTAAACAATACGGTAGTCGACATTTAGTCAAATTCAAGACTTTTATTGAAATGTCAAAAACGATACTTTTCTATAGCGTCTGGAGAAAAGTTCTCGGGTTCGATTTGGGTGTAACAAGTATTTTAACCGACTTCAAAAAAGCAAGTTCTCAGTTTGCCTAGTGTATATGTATGTTTGTGCGCGATTGTCTAGCGAATAAGTGTCGTGGTGGCCCGGAGGTTTAAGACGCCCGCTTCTCATGCATGAGGATGCGGGTTCGAAACCTACCAACGGCAAGTACCAATGTGACTTTTCCGAGTTATATGTACTTTCTAAGATTATTCAGACACCACTGACAAACGGTGAAGTAAAACATCGTGAGGAAACCTGGGCTTATAATTTTTAATTATAAGTTTGAAGTCGCCAACCCGCATTGAGCAAGCGTGGTGGTTAATGCTCAAACCTTCTCCGTGTGAGAAGAGGCTTTGCTCAGCAGTGGGCATTTATAGGCTGTTGATGTTGTGTTATATGTTATCTTGCGAATGGTTGAATCGATTTCGATGCGGTGTTCAGACAAGTGTTTGTTCAACTTAGAAGATAGTTTTAGTATATAACCGATTTCAAAAAAATAGGGTATAAGTCGGCATTTTAAACTTATCATTGATTGCTTTTTTGTCTTTGGAGTCATAATCTTGAACAGTATCCAATTAACGGCTAGGTCAGACTACCAACACAACAGACAAAAACTAGATGTCGCATCTAACATGTACAGCTCTGTCTACTCCTTCAGTAATAAAAGACGTGATATTAAGTTACCTGCACTTCAACTCCGTAATTTCACTGTTATCACACTGATATTTTCCCAAAAACTCTTTAACATCCTCATCAGCTTCCTCCAAATTGTCTATGATATTATCTATTTCCGGTTCCGGCTCTATAATCTCAACGTCGCTCGAACTACCCTCCTTCTTCTCATCTTTAACAATTATGACGTCATCGGACCTCGGATCGTTGTCTATGGGCTTCGTTATAATCTCTCCGTCAGAACCTATTTCGACTTTAACGAACTCTTCCTTGTCTATTTTCGTCTCTATCTTGTTTATGGTTTCCTTAGCTTTCCCTAGATGCGTAAAACTAAAATTTTTAACCTTCTGAAATATGTATTGTTGATTATTTCGTATGACCAAAAACTCGTCCGGATTCAGAAATTGATTAGCACTTTTCATTCGACACGGCTTAAAATTTTCATTGAGGCAACACTCGCATATAATTTTGAGTTGGGTCGACATTTTTTTCTGTGGGGAACACCGATGTAGCCTCTGGTCTTCGTTATCAAAGAGATACAGTTTATCCACGTTATTATCAACGTGTTTGCCACATATGAAGCAGATCTGGCTCTCACTTTCGCCTATAAGAACACCATCAATATCTACATAGGAGATGGGTTTCGTCCAATTCTTGTGGACTAGTCTCGAAGGGTCTGTCTTCCTAACATGTCTCCTTTCGCTATACCCCTGATCGTATGGCAAAGAAGTCATAGGGGAATCTTTAAACATGTTGAGAATTTCTTCTCTAGTGTACGAAAGATTATCATTCCTTTGATAGCTCTCGTCGTAATTCTTGAAATTGTCTTTAATGAGACTTTTTGGGGATTTATTCCTGATGGTCACAGGGTTAAGAGTAGCGTAAGTTTTTGATGCATTCGCTTCCAAATATTTAGTAAACTGCGCCTCAAAACCCGAAGTGTTATTGCAGACTAATTTAAATGGTAACGAGTTTATAAAACTGCACTTTGGACTAGAATTTTTACTGGACCAACGGGATACTGGGCTTTCTACAATGTTTATCTTCTTAGTCTCTTGTATATGAACATTTTCTAGATCTATATCATCTGTGACGTCATCCGCGTACTTCACAAAAGGGATTTTTTCAGCCGTCAAATCTATTAGCGGATCATCATTGTCAAAATGTATTTGAGACGCCCTTATCTGAGTCCCATCGTCCAAAATGTAAACCAAATCGTTGGCCCCATCATTTGGATCCAACATTGGATCAAAGTTTTGTGTGAGGTCATCTGTTTGTAAGTTTTGTTCGGCATTTATTAGGAACTGATAGACGTTTTCTGATAATGAGACGGGTTGGTTTCTTGTTATGGAGTTTAAGTCCACGTCGAAACCTAGTAGCGCCCTGGAATGAAAGAATTTTAAAAATAAAATAATATTTTGTAGTGGGAAATGTAAAATATCAACTTGTCTAGTGACAGCAAGTCGACTGCTGACTGCTGAGGTTTCATAAACGATCCTCAATTGAATAGATCCTAAATCGGGATTTTTTTGACGCGGAGAACCTAACGGGTAACCGGGGCTCCGGCTCGACGTGCAGGAGAAGGAACGGGGTGGTTTTTAGTCAGTAAAAGTCTGACACTCCCTCCGGCCTCACTCAGGCGGGAGCAGTTATTCGACGATTTTCCCCCCTTAAAAAAAAAATCGGGATTTTCGATAAAGGAAAAAAATTGGAAATCTTGGGACTATTCTTTCGTTTATTTAAGCAAAGAACTTTCTCAATAATGGTACGATTATAAGTTAGAATAAAATCCCTTACTTGGCTTTGTCCAGGAACATTTGGAAGTTATCGTCCGGTTCTATTCGGAGAGCGACCTCTTCGCCAGTCGCATTCTCCATGCATATAATCAAGGGGGGTTGCGCCTCCGACATTATTACCTGTAAAGAAATAAAAATGTACGACTAAGGAATGGTCTGACGAGACGCCTATATCGCATGAGTAATCTTCAGGAGCGACTTGGCATCCATACGAGAATTTGACGGGAGCTGCGGAGCCCGACCGCTGCAGAAGACTAGCGGGTTTAATACAAGTGAAACAAGTAAATTTATTTCTGCAAATAGGCTACAAGGCAGTACTTTTACCCGTCAATTTTAAGCGAACAATGAGGACGACATTTCCTAACTGACTACTCTGAGAAGAAATGTCGAAACAAACTCAGAGGTTCGTCTCTTTTAAAGTCCAGACAAATATGCATAAAAGATTATATGTGAGAACCCTGCTCGAACTACTTCTGCAGTAGGAAGATGGTGGTGTATAGTCAGTAAGAGTCTGACACTGCCTCTCGCCTCACGCAAGGCGGGAGTCGTCATTGGCTTTTCTCCTGCTCAAAAAAACTTTAGGCAGCAGCCCATCAGGCCATGTTCTTGTTTCTTTAGGTCCCGACCGCACTGGAGGGGAACCATGGCGGTTAATAAAGAATTTATTTTATATTTAACTAGCGACCCGCCCCGGCTTCGCACGGGTGCAATATGCATGATATAAACCTTCCTTAAGTTCGCAAAAAAAAAAAAAAAAAAAATGTATTTATTAAAAATGTAATTAATGTAAAGTAATATAAGTTTATTAATAAGACTAATAAAAACCACTAGCACTACTGCAATTAGCTTACTGCCGCGTGGGCGGGGACGTCATGCGTTCGTAAATGTTCTACAGTCGGTGGCGCTGTGGGCTGGGTCGTTCCGTTCCCTACGAAATGGTTGATCGGACCGATTGCTGGCCTACACGTCATACCCGTGAACGGGTGCCTTCTGCTGGAACAGGTCGGCTCGCTCATCGTGCTGGTGGGCTGATTCAGTAGGGTTAGTCTAAGATAATAAGACTGTAATAATTAGGCAACAACATAAAGTATTGTGTGTAGTACAGTGGTAGGCGTAGCATGTAAGATCTTTATAAAAAAAAAAATATTTGACCATAGAAAGTATGTACTTGTAATATGACAAGGGCACGGACACGAGTCTGTGGAGAAATTCAATTTTTTATTTATTAAAAAAAAAAAAAAAAAAAACCTTCCTTAAGAATCACTCTATCTATTAAAAAAAACCGCATCAAAATCCGTTGCGTAGTTTTAAAAATCTAAGCATACATACGGACATACAGCGAAAGCGACTTTGTTTTATACTATGTATTGATGATGTGCAGACATTTGGCCACTATCTCGCTTGGTGGTAAGCAATGATGCCGCCTACAATGGAGTACGTCTGCCTATAAGCAACCTATTTACTCAAAAGTGTATTGAAAAACAAAACCCCAAGTAGTTTTTCAAGAGGGCTGATGCCGATACGGAGCCGCGGAAAACTTAACGGGTTACCGGGCTGAGGCTCGAAGTGCAGGAGTAGGAACGGGGTGGTTTTTAGTCAGTAACAGTCTGACACTCCCTCCCACCTTACCCAGGCGGGAGGAGTCATTCGATGATTATTCCCCCCATAAAAAAGTAGTTTTTCAAAATAGTACAATACAGTTAGGCCGTGCGCTGCGTTAGGCATGCGCATAGCGCGGGCGCCGCCCCGTTGCATGTAGCGCTGATCTATGGGATTACATGAAACGGCGCACCACGCGCACAGCCTAACAGTGCGACCGTCACCGCGTCGCGGTGCCGCTCATGTATATGAGCCTTTAGCATGGCTTGAAACTAGTCGAGTTCCTCATTAAACAGTTACGTGAGTAAGCCGAAAATATAATAATTAAAACCGCAAATTGCTATTTGTATTTGGTTAAAAACCGGTGCGGTTGCGCTCTAGTGCGGTCGGGACCTTATGGAGGAATGTTCTACCAGTCTACCTTGTTAGTCCATAGCCTACTAGATTTTACAATTTGCGAAATTCTAACTATGTAGCACAAAATTAGACACTACTAATCTCAGTAGTATTGTCATTGGAGAGGCCTATGTTCAGTAGTGCACGTCTTATGGCTAATGAAATGTTGATGATGAAGAATCTCAGTAGCTGGTAGCATTCAACTAATTCACAGATTTTTGTTAATTAAAATGATTAATTAATTGTAATCCAAAATATATTTTTGTTTATTTCTCCTTGGCCTTGTTGGCCGATTGGTCGCAATAGCAAGTGCCGGGCAACGATTCTCAGATTTGATATCCAAGTTGAGTAAAGTATTTCTGGGTTTTTAAAAAAATTCTCAGTATCCACAGCATGGTGTCTGGAATTGTGCCCGGTATATGGCAATAGGCTCACCCCTTATTACATGGGACTCATAACATAAATAGTGAAAAGGGGGTGTTACATTGTACAGTGGCATCAAGTACCATAATATGCCTACTCCTTCGGGGTGCAGCCTAATAAAAGATATGCAGGAAGTTGCAGGATGCATGTCCAGTCGCTTCTAACCTTCCAATCCGCCTATTTAGAAGTCATTTGGGCGGCCCTTTTTTTTAAAGGGGAAAAGTCATCGAATGACTACTCCCGCCTGGCTGAGGCGGGAGTGTCAGACTCTTATTGACTAAAAACCACCCCGTGCCTAGGCCTTGAAGCAGTGGACGACTTGTGACTATTATGGTGATGAAGAAATAAATATCTTTTAACTATAAAACTATAAATGATATTTTATAAATGCATGACAATAATTAGTTACAAATTCAATACTGATACAACTAAAAAAATATTTAAAAACTAGCAGAGAATTAGTGTAATTAAATTGGACTACTATTAGATTTTATTAGACAAATTCCTCTGAGGTATATTTGTATCAAAAACATAATTAATTATCCTAGATAATGCACATAGTACATTGAATATTATATTTGTAATAAAGTGAAAAAGTAATGATTTTCAAGCAACAATTTGAAAATCTTTTCTATTAAAATGAGAAAAAAAAACAGTAGGTAATATAGAAATATATTTTGTAATAAAGTGTAGGTATAGCAAATACTAAGAATAATAAAAAGCAAATATAACAAGAATTTTGCATTTAATGCAACTTTTTAGAACATCATGAACAACCAGTATAAAAAGTTTCAGAATGAAAAATTAAAATGATGAATTTCTTTCTTTTAATTTCGAAAAGAAAAGTTCTCGTAAAGTACCTGGTTGATTTATTTATCTTTATTCTAAATAATTTCCAGCCTAGCCATTGAAAACCAAAGCGGGGGTATGAAAACTGACACTGGCCACCAAATAAAATAAATAGAAACGGCCAGTGACAATACGATACCGGCATACTTTTTTGGCCATTTAAACCATAAAAACGCAACAAAACAATATTATTACACAATAAACAAAAAGTACCTTACCAGTTATTCAATTTCAACGAAAATATCTTCAATTTCTTCAAACAACTGGCACTTCTTTAGAAAAATAACAAATGACACAATATTTTTATCGCCATTTGTGTCAAATTTCAAAACAAAAACATTCTCTAAAGTCAAACCCACAGACAAGAACTGTACTTTTTTATGGTTTCACAATTCGCTTTACATTGCTTATGTTTTGACAATGCGTCAATGTAAAAGAAAGTAAGTTTAATGCATCATTTTAATGAATGGATATGGAAAAAGCGTCACAATAAACATTTATTGTTAATTTCTTAATATTTTTATAAAATCAAAGAAATTAGTAACACTTATTTCCTTTGAAAGTAAAGGTTTTTGTACTTTTTTTGACAGTACTATTAATGCAAAGAAAAAACACAAATTCATGTCTAGCTCATTAGCAATTCTGAATTTTCTTATAAGAAAACGTCACGTATTTATTAAAATGATGTTATAAATTAATTCTGATAAGAAATGAGATTCAATTCTGCTAACAATAGACTTGGCTGATTATTTTTTGTTTATGGAAAAGCCTTTGTTTTGCTGAAAAAGTAATTGGGAAGAAAGGGACAGAAATACTTTGATTTATCTTGATATTAATTGGAAAAGTTATGTAAAACGTTTATTTAAAACTGTTTTAAAGTTATCTCATAAAATACAAGAATATTATGAAATGAATATATTTTACACATTTAGAATAAAAAGGTAATCAAGTTCCAAAACTCAAATAAACCGGGGCGTGAAAGAGGCAGAGCCATCTCGATTTGTTGATTGACATGACAAATGACAAATGAAATGTCATTCAGTCGCAATATGGCCGATAGTTTATCTAAATACGGAACATATAAATTGTGCGCGAATATATAATTTGCTATTCAAATGATAGTTTGCTTAATTTAATGACTTAGTGAGTGAAGTGCCACGGTATGTTTCCCCTTACTCCGCCCGTGGTGAAACGGCTGCTAGGGTGGAAAAAGGGCCCTGAGGGTTCGTCTGCAGCTGAAGATAAATGGTCGGAGAAGGCAGTGAAAAGTTTAGTAAAGAAATTGAAGAAAAGCGGGGCTCTCGAAGAATTGGAAAAAGCCATTTCAAGTCAAAACAGCCATACCAAATGTGTCACTATTCCCAGGTCAGTTCAATATTGATTTATTTTTTTTCGTGATAACAATCATTTGGGAATATGACGTTTCCGGTAGGCTATCATATCTTTTAACAATGCAGTTAAACCTTATGTTCTTTGTCATAGAAGCTATTATCGTATGCTAAAGATATTGCAAAAATTGTTGAGCTAATCAAAGAAACTTAAATCTCCCAAGGAAATTGCTACCCAAGTGAAGTGTCTAGTATATTATTTATTTTCCAAATAAGAATCTCATTGGAAGTTGTTTCAATTCTTTTAGCACAAAAATTCGCTAAACGATATCAGTTTACGAACGAACATTTTTTCCGTGGTCGGGTTATTTCGGTGGGTCTTATTACCCGACCAAGTTAAGTGGTAGGTTATTAGAAGTGACCTCGGTAGGAGGCAACGACCATCGTATTTTGGTTACATAATAGCATACAGGACGCAAAATCGGAAAGGTCAAGACACCGTCAAAACAAATCGAATCATTCCGATCCTTGTCAATATGGCGGACATGTTTTGAACCTTGCAATTTTTGTAATTGCTAAATTCTCTACCGTTTAAAAAGTGAATGTGTGTGTGTATATTGTCTTTGTTTTCGGGGCCCATTTTGAAGGACATCCGTATATCCTTTCGTCCTTGAAGGTAAATACGTCACAAACTGTTCCGTTTCGTGCAAATTAGATGAGTTCTAAACAGTCGTAATTTATGCGAAATTTACGATTTCTTGATATAAATATGCGCTTCCGTGTGTTTATTTGAAGAAATTATTAAATAATTGTGAATTTGAATACTAAAAACTGTTAATTATGATCAGTTTGATGCTAATAAGATTCTAATAAGATTTTGGTGTTCAAATCTAGGTTTCCTAAGTGCTAGAGGCTATTTAGACAATGTGTGATGACTGATGACATGTACCCGTGCGCATTTTGCCGCCAAATAATATAATACTCATTTTAAAAGTAATTTTTATGAACGATTAAACAGTGAGTAGGTAATTGATGTCATAAACAATAATTGAATGTTAATTTTTTTTAATAATGTTTTGAATTTTTGGGTTATGACAACTCACATTGTGGTTAGACCTTATTGATAAAAAAGAAAATATTATATGTTTTTGTGTTTTAGTAAAAATATGTGTATAATCTTAACTTATTATGTTTCAACTCCTTTTAACATCTAAAAAATATCTCCGAAGTTCTTTTTGGCTAACTGATTATTAATGATAATAATTTGACCATAGAAAAACTTGATTTTATAAGAAACCATGCATTGAACCCGATATATTGGATGTTCAGAACAATAAGGATGTTGAATAAAGGTAGACACAGTCTCTTGTAACAGTGAAGGTTGCACTTGGCTACTATAGAGTTACACACAGAACTTAAACCCATTGATATGAGTTGTATCTGTTATTTTCTCAAGTCGAGTTATGTGACACATGCACACATAAAAAAACCACAGGCATTTTTATGCTTCAATCATTGATAAGTCACATTGTGGCCTCCTTTTTTTCAACGTCCTTCAAACAGAAACTTTTAAATATTGTTTTTTCACTACTTTAGCATTTAAAAAAATATAGTTAAATTTAACTTTGGTGTGCCTTATGGATATTTGATTAGAAAATAAAAAAGTAATACCTTGTTGTCTGACAATATCATTTATTCTTTGTTTCAGGGCCAAACCGAATGAGAATACAATAAATGGTCAATATCGCAAGGGATTGCCGCATGTTGTCTACTGCAGGCTGTGGCGTTGGCCGCAGCTACAGGTAGTTACAATATTTATTATTAAAAAATATGTTAATATGTTACACCTATGGTACTCAAACCTGATTTTTGACAAAACATCAAAGTCCACACTCAGGGTTTACCAGCAAGCCATGGAACGCAGTATCTTAGGAGTCCAATAGTCAGACAGAATAAGACTCCATACAATACTGCACTCCAAAACTCAAATCACTGAAATGTTAATAGTTGTGTTTGGAAGGAATCTGGATTGGATGGGACCATTGGGTCTCGTTTATTTGGGAGGTGTACGAGATGCCGAAGTCAACTACTCGGAGTCCTTTAGACAACTTAAATCTAAATCCAATGCAACACAAACAGGTGAAATGCACCCAAGGACAGGCCCCGGTTAGTGTAGAACTATTGTAGATAATGCACTAGGGCTATGGATGGGTTGCTGTGGACAATTGGGAACTATGGATGACTATGGCACGTGCCGAATTATTTTTTTATTATTATACAACGACGGTGGCAAAAAAGCACATGGCCTACCTAATGGTAAGCGGTTACTGTGGCCTATGTACGCCTGCAACACTTGGAGCATTACATTATTATTATTTATTTGCTAAATAGGCACTACACTCTCTCTACAAACTCCCATGTTTCTAAGAATGTACGAGAAACTCGAGGCCCCTTACAATAAGTAGTAACTTGTGCTTGTGTTTACTTAACCAATGGTCTAGATAATCTATGACACTGCAAGAGTAATCTTATACTTTTTTTATTATTAAAGCTGAAGAGTTTGTTTGTTTGCTTTCTTGTTTGTTTGTTTGTTTGTTTGTACGCGCTAATCTCCGGAACTACTGGTTCGAATTGAGTAATTCTTTTTGTGTTGGATAGCCCATTTATCGAAAAAGTCTATAGGCTATAAAAGACCACGCTACGATCAATAGGAGCCGACCAGAGCGGGGTCAAACCGTGCGGGAGTAGCTATAATATGCATCAAAGTATTTTTTTTTATGTAATGTCACTAGGATTTTCTTCTGTGTCATCGATTTGAGTAGATTATTTTAATGTTTATTTGTTACAGAGCCAGCATGAACTGAAGCCAGTGGACCACTGCGAGTACGCGTACCAGCTGAAGAAAGACGAAGTGTGCATCAACCCTTACCACTACAATAAAATCGATTCGCCTGGTAAGATACATTTATGCTATTTTTTTTATGTTGCCCCACACTAGGATTGTGTGGTGGGTGCGTTATTGTTTTTGGTATTCTTGCTATATTTTTTAATGGTATAGACTGGTAATCGAGCAGGGTATTCTTCAAGGTCCAAATGAATAGGTTGCTTGTGGCCAGACGTGCTCCATCGTAGGCCGCATCATCGTGCACGTGCCGAGATAGTGGACAAACGTCGGCCCATCACAGATAAAAAAAGAAATTTTGACATAACATCACGCCTTTTGTCCCCGACGGAGTAGCCAGACGTGCACATTACGGCACTAAATGCCGCTATACAGTGTAACATCCACTTGTCACTATTTTTTGTTATGAGTCCCATGTAATAAGGGATGAGCTAATTCTACACTCCATGCTACTACTGAGAAATTTTTGAAAAACCCCAGTAATACCTTACCCGACCCGGTAATCGAAACCAAGACCCTGCTTGCGACCACTCGGCCAACGAGGCAGGTGAATATAGTAAGTAATAAGTTTTGTATATAGTAACAATATCTGTTTGTCTCGCAGCGCTCCCTCCGATATTGGTGCCCCGGTGTGGTGACGCCGAGGTCAGGGCTCCGCCTCCCTACACGGACTACCACCAGCACCCGCCGCACCACGACCACCATCACGACCATCACCACGACCACCACCACCTCGACCATACGGACGCGTGAGTATATGGTCATGTAACGTGGACATATTTTGTTATTTAGACATTTGGCGGAATAAACCCTTTATTTCTAGATACCTTCAAATGGCGCCTAGCTTTTTTTGGGAGAAAAAACTAGGGGGTATGGGTTTATTTATTTATTTGGGTTGCTTAATGGCAGCCTACAAAGCAGAGCATGGCAGAGCCATGCTTCGGCACGAATGGAAAGAAAGAAAGAAAAAACATTTATTTAGCACCAGGCAAGATGCAGCATAAATAAAATAAAAAAAAAGACAATCAAGGTGTGACAGTGGAAGTAATAAAAATATAAGAGTTGAAAAATTGAAACAGAAGAATTAG